AGCAGCCAGGAAGAATGACTCTCCATAATGTTCTAAGGCGATGGTCTATTGATTGGTCGAGAGACCCAGAAAGAAGGGAAGACATGTCGTTAGGCCACTTATCTGATATATGGTTAGGAGCGATCCGTGACCAAACCTCTCTTGTTACTAGACATTGAATGAAGAGATGATCATGATACTCATTGTGCAAATTGCATAGGGGGCAGATGGTGTCTCCTATCCAACCCTTTTTGGTTAAGACATTCCTTGTATGAAGTTTTTGCTGACTGAGAATCCAAAAAAAAAATTTTACCTTATGAGGGATAGGTGATTTCCATATGAAGTTGAAGAGATGGAATTTGATACCGTCAAGATTGAGAAAGTTATAGCATAGCTTTACTGAGAACATTTCTGATGAATGGAACGGCCAGAGAATTTTATCTGGGACTTGGGCTGCAGATGGCCTAAAAGAGTCTAGAAGAGAGTACAAGAGATTGATATCTTCTCTTAACTCTAATGTGGAACCCCTTCTGATGATTGGATGCCACATCCACTCCTCATTGATAAAGGATCCTTGGGACTAGACAGAGCTGAGAGGTGAGAATGCTAATTGAAACACCTTGGGCAATAAGCTACTTAGAGTGTTCTTACCAGTCCACTTGTCTAACCAGAATCTGTAACTTTTACCATCACCTATCTTCCAATGAGACATGCTGAAGAAAGGGTCGATAATAGAATGTAAATTTTTGATCAACTTAGAGGCTGAGTCTCTTGGAGGGATAGCTAAAGGGTTGGAGGTATTAATGGAGTAGATAGAATAAATGACCTTGCTGATGAACGAGCTTCTATCACTGATTTTCCAAATCCACTTAGATAGGAGGGCTTGATTGAACAGATGCAAGTTGATAACTCCAAGCCTCCCCTCCTATTTAGGCTTGCATACTTTACCCCAGTTGATTAAACTCTTAGGTTTAGAAGATTAGAGATGATAGCCCCATAGAAACTTCCTTCTAATTTTATCTATGGCCTTGATGAGCCACATAGGAAGTTTAAAGAAATACATTTAGTATAGCGGGAGAGAAGACATAACTGAATTAAGGAGAGTGAGTCTGCCACCAATAGACAGAGATTTGTGCTTCCATAAAGCCAGTTTCTTGGAGAAGGATTCTAGGAGGGGCTGCCAGTCTTTTTTGGATAGGGAACCCTTTTTTAGAGGGAGATCAAGGTAGGAGAAAGGGGAAGTGCCTAAGGAGCAGTTGAACCTCTCAGCTAAAATAGATCCCTTGTTAGGGTGTCTGCCTAAGTAGAGAAGTTGGGTTTTGGAGAGATTCATGGAAAGACCTGAGATATTACCAAAGATAAGCAGAATGATTTTGAGAGTATCAATTCTTTAGGAGAAGCTTTACAAAAGATGAGGGTATCATCAGCAAACTGAAGGGAGTTTTATGGAGTTCAGTTGACCTTTCAGATTAAGATCTGAGAGATCCCCTCATAGAACACTAGCAGAGATCATTTTGTTAAGTACATCTATAATCAATAAGAATAGCAATGGAGAGAGGGGATCTCCCTATTTGAGACCCAAATGGCATTGGAAGAAAGCAATGG